TGGCTGCTACCACTCTGCAGGGTCGTTATCTCCTTGTCTTTCTCAGCGAAGGAACGTTACCTTGTTCACCTCAAGGCTTAGCACTTAGCCAGGCAAACACAGGATGTTTTCTTCACGAGAGATTGGTTAAATGAATGATCTTTAAAGAGATGAACTTTTAATTTTAGAATGGTTTCACATTATAGAAGAATTGTAAAGATAGTACAGAGAGTTCCTATATACCCCACACCCAGTTTCTCCTATCACCAATATCTTACATCAGGTACGTAGGTCACAGTTAAAGGGAGACACTGACATACAATCACTAACGAAAGGCCTTCCTGTATTCCGATTCCCTGAGTTTTTCCCTGCTGTTCTCCTGTTCCAGGATCCCGTCTAGAACATCACACCCCACTCAGTTGTCACGCCTCCTTAGGCTCCTCTTGGCTGTGATCACTTCTCAGACTCGCCTTGTGCTCTGATGACCTTGGCGGCTTTGAAAAGTGCTGGCCAGGTGTTTTGTAGCATGTCCCACAAATGGGATTTGTCTGATGTTTTTCTTATAATTATACTGTGGTTATAGGTTTTTTTGGGGGGAAGATAACAAACAAAAAGTACCATTCTCATCACATCATATCAACAGTCCATATTCTCAACGTGACATCACTGTTGATGTTGACCTTGATCACCTGGCTAAGGCAGTGTGTGTCGGATTTCTCCGCTAAAATTACCCCCCCACCACCACTTTCCATGATGTCCACTTTGACAGGAAGTCACCATGTAGCGCTCACATGCAAGGAGTGGGGAATTATGCTCCACCTCCTCCAGGGGGCACAGCCACATCAATTACTTGGAATTCTTCTACATGGGGAAATTTGTCTCTTCTGCTCAATTATCTATTTATTCACTCATTTATTCATATCAGTGTGGACTCATTGTATTTATGTTTTGTTTTGGGTTATAATCCAATACTACTTTACTTTGCTGCCCAAATTGCTCCAGTTCTGGCCTTTGGGAGCTCCCTCTGTGGGCTCTTGATACTTCGTCACTATGTATTTTTTAAGCATTTCCTTATTTTCTGAGGCTATAAGATGCTCCAGGCTCATCTCGTTTATTTCCTGCCCCAGTCCCACAGTCAACCAGTTCTCCAAGGAGTCCTGGTTCTTTTTATTAGAGAACAGTATTTGAAACCAAGATGTGGGCTCCAAGTACACTTGTAACAACCAGCTGCTGGGGTATCATTTCTAGGCCCTCTCAGCTGTCAGAGCTAGGAAATAAGTCTACTAACCTGTGTGCCTACACATGTCTATAAATGCTTCCATATGTATCCATCTTTATCTAAATAAAGCCGAACATGAGTTCATCCTGATGTCCCTAATTGCAATCCATTTCCACATGGAGCATTCTGGTCTTAATGTCCCTTTTAAATGATAACTCCATCTCAGTCATAGTTTGCTAGGTGCAGCGCCAAGCTGTTTACAAAGATTACCTTGTTTCATTCTCAAAGCAACTTTATGAGTAAATACTACTGCCCACAATAGGAAGAAACTGAGGCACCAGAAAATGACGTCTCCTACCTAAACTCACGCAGTAAGTGGAGGGGCCGTCTATGAGCCGTACCTTTGAGATTGCATGACTGAGTGACGGAGAACACTCTCCGTACATTCATCCAGGACTTCGAGGAAACTTCAGTTCTGAGCAATTTAAGATGCAGATGTAATTCCTGGCTCTCACCAACTATTGTTCTGTTCAAACCTTAACCTCTTGAATACTTCCCCACCCCCTTCCCAGGGTTTGCTCCCCACCGACGTGCTAACTGGAAGACAAGTTGCCAAGTTACGTCCTGACTTGACAGCTCAAGCAAAGGGGCGCTGGAGCAACAGCAAAGATCAGCTCCATCTGACCCCGTGACTTGTCAACCTCTGGCTGACCCCAGCTGTGTATTATCTTGGGTTTTGGTGACTTGGTAGTAATTAACTTGGAACAAGCAACTCTACTTTCATGGAGTAAAAAAAACAAAAAAAAGATTATTATTTTTTCTCTTGTTAATTAAATCATCTACACGAAAGATAAGTGGGCAGCCCACACTTACATCTTCTAAAATATCAAAGGCCTGATTAGTAAGTGCTAAGTTCAACCTCAGCCTTTTCTCCAGATTCCTGGAAGTAACAGGGACCTGGAGGTAGGGAGCTTCTGAATATTTTCCAATATTCGCTTACTCAGAATTCATTCATTCATTCATCCATTCATTCATTCATTCATTCTGGCCGATCTAGAAAGAGGCGACCCGCATAGCTCAAAATGATCCTCCACGTTTTATTTCCAGCAACCTGCTGAATTAGAAACACCATCAATGAGCAGAGAGTAAGAACGAGAATTCTTCAGACCAGGTTGAAAACCACTTTTTTCAAAAGCCCACAGTCCCCTCTGGTCCCTGTGTTCTGTTGGGTGAATTTTTCCTGACAGTTGGTGGTTTTATTTGCCAGAACCACAACAAAGGGGGTCCTTGAGTTTCCCTGGGAGTGTTTCCTCAGACCTGCACCTCTCCTACACCTCACAAAGGTGTTATTGTAGCTGGCTCGCTGGGCGCCCAGCACCTGAGCGAGATCAAAGGTACTTTCTGATGCCAGCATGACCACAGTCTCGCCCTCACCACAACACATTAAAGCTGATGATTAATCCCCTTGGCCCAGAAGGTCCCTTCCCACTCCCAAGTACAAAGCTGGGTGGGGGTGGGGGCTTTATTTCCAGCACAACATGACCATAATAAACTGGCGTTTTATGGCCCTCATTCATTGTGACCAACTGCAGCTGCCCATCAAACTCGGTAAAGCCCAAACAGTTGCTTCGTGTGAGCCTTTTATATCACTGGGAAAGTGTAAGGAGAATCCCATCACTTCTGAGTGGCTATAATATACGTGATTCATGTCATCCAGCCACCCTGTGAGACTGGCATCATCAGCCCCCATGTGGTGGAGAAGAACCTGGGGCTCAGAGAAGTGAAGTAACTCACCTCCGCTCGCAGGGCCCAGAAGTGCACGAGCAAGAAGGAACTGGCACAACACAGTCAGGCACCGAGGGGGCTGTGCTTGGGGATCACACGGAGTGAAATCGGAGCTCCCGGCTCCAGCCTGGTAGCTTTGTGACCTTGGGAACATCACTGGCCGTTTCTCTGCCTGAGTTGCCTCATTTGTAAAATGGATAATTTAGGATAAGAATCATCTCAACGAAGAGACCAGGAGACTGAGGGATATCCTCAGAGATATCCCAGAGTCCCTCACATTCACTTGGGTTGGATTCTGCTCAGAAACCTGAACTGAGCTGGGTAAAACTGCCTGAAATTCTGATGTCACAGGAGAAACCGGATTAGATGTGTCCCTGTGAAAGCGGCGGGTGAGCGGAATAGGTTTTCGTCAGCGTTCAGTGAAGACAAGCTAGCAAGTGTGGACCCACATCAAGGAAGAGGGCCGGCTGCCCCGGTGGGCGCCCCCTGCTGGAGGTGGCCTGGGCCCTGGGGATCTCTCCCTGCAACCACGCTGGTACCACAGGGCTGAGGAGAGAGGCCAGGGTTTTTAAACTCAGTATAAGAAGATCCATGTAAGATTTTGCCCAGAAAACCTTTTTTTTTTTCCTGGTGGACGGAGGTCAAGGAAATCTATGTCCTTAAAGTGCAGCACCACACAAATGTCCCTTCAGGAAGCTGTGTCTACCCGTGGACCCTGCCCGGGCAGTCAGTCCGTCTTCTTTCTGCCCACTGACACCAGTGCTAGTTAGTGGCTGAGAGCGACTGCAGTGCTTAGTGTGTGAAGCACGTTACATAACCTCGGTCCACCCTCCAGCACTGTGACCACACGTCCTGGAACTCTGCACCTTCTGCCCGTGAGGGGGCCCCCGGGATGAAGTGCCGCCCGAGGCCCAGACTTGGGAACCACTGGGCCGGCTCTGCCAGCGCTGTGACGCGGGAAGTCGCGTGCGAGAACACCTTGCCCCGTGCCCAGAACGTGACAGATGCTCAGTTATCACAAGTTCACCTGGATCTATATTTGGGGGCCTTCCTTTATAGTACCCAGTACCTGTGCCAGCCTGTTGTCCCCAAGGTTTGGCACAGCCCCAGACACAAGAGCAGAAAATCAGTAAATAGGTAAATGCATCAGCACTGACTCAACTGGAATGGTTCACAGTGAAAGAGGCTCCTTGGTCTCCACAGTCACTAAACAGCTTCCCATCGCCCATGCTTCCCTCCTAGCTCAGAGCTTCTGTCCTGGACTGAGTCCCACGCTCATCCTTGCTCATCTCCCTGCTCCTCCCCCATCTGCCTTCCTCCTCCTCCCCTCTCCCCACTATTTTACTCATCTGGGAAAAATCCAAGGAGTCGTCCATCTAAGTTTAACAGAGAAATGACTTTTAAATAAAAATATGGTAGAAATGGGTACTTATCGAAATGGAATGCTTTCAGACTCATGCATTTAAAAAAGATATAAATTTTAGGGCAGGCACTAAATTTTAACTGTAATCTTGGAGAAAGCCTTTCCACTAATTCATGGAGAAAAATTAACAAAGTGAGAATTGCTTATCAGTGTTCTTTTGAAGTCATGATATGCAGCCTAATTCTATAGATCACTGAGCCGCTCCCAGGGAGATGGATTTATACTGAGGGAGAGGAGCTCGGCGGCCGGGGAAAGCAGACGCCCTCTGCAGAGGAGGTTCAGCTACCTTTCAGGGAAAGATCAATAGGGGGCAAGGCCTGGTCCTCCTTGGATCCGATTTCACCCCTCAAGCCGCCTTGGCTCTCGGGCCAGGGTGATGTTAAAGGCAGACTCAACCCTTTTCACACTTTTTAAGAACCGGGCCCTGGAACAAGACCTGGCAAACCCCAGCAAGGCTGCTGATGGGGGAGCTGGGCTCCGGGTGGACAGGACACAGGTGGCGGGAGAAGGGGCTGAGGGGGCGGAAGGGCCAGCAGCCCCACTCTCCTCTGGGCTGCCCGCCCCTGCGGGCCCCCCTCGGCCTGGCAGACTCACCCCCATGTGACAAGAAGATGTTCCACAGATGACAGCCAACCGCGACGTCACTGGCTGGCCCTCACAGGCGAGGCCGTGCCCCCTCACATCTGTTCCAATCACTCCTGTGAGAAAGCAAAAACAAAACAAAATTCTCTTGGAAAAAAAGGATGGCTAAAAACAAGCATAAAACCCTCTTTTTTTTTTTTTTTTTTTTTTTTTTACAGCTAACAACATTGAGAAAGCAAGCATTCCACGTGTAGGCCAGTCTCAAATAGAAACCAAAAGAGCATACTCGCTGGCCTTGGGGAAACTAGGAAACTGTTTCTGTTTCTGCTTTACTCCGGTCACTGTAAGTGTCCAGCACTGTAATAATAATAGTAAATGAAAGCAGAACGCTCCAGGCAGCCGCTCTCTGATTGTGTGCTCAATCGGCACCAGGCACTGGGCTGCACGCTCATGTGTCCAGTCTCATTTCACGTGAATCTTTAACACTATGAACACCACACACAACAGTGGAGAGACAAAGGCACCGGCCAAGGCCGAAAGACCTGTCCAAGGTCTCCCTGCTGGTAAGGAGCAGAGCTGAATAGGGTCTGGTTTAATACATCCCAGTTCAGTCTCAAAGAAGGCAACAGGAAGGTGTGATGACTGAACCTTTTCGGCATCTCTAGGTCACCGTTCTTACTGATACTTACGGCAGGGCTTGCGTGGTAAAGGGTGGGATGGCGGACGACGAGTTTCTGTTAAAAGAATGTCAGACAGGAGAGGGTCTCCCACTAGCGGTGTACACTCGGGCTTCTTCCCCATACAGATTATACTCCTTGATAGTTGCTGGGCAAGGCACGTTACAAACGTGACAAGAGACCTAGAAGCTGTTAGAGCCTAGTATTTCCGCCACTTATTCAATCACCCAGCGAGCACCTTCTATGCACAAAAGTACAGGTAGGTGTGGTGTGGGAGCCTCGGGATGCAGACATTCCGAACACAGGCAGGAGGTGGAAAGTGCTCGGAGCAGGACACAGACCAGGGCCCGTGAGATCAGCCCCTGCCGACCTCGTCAGCTCCATCAGTGCCCCCCTTGCTCCACCTCCAACACTCAGTGCTCTTTCCCAGTTCAAGACCGATGCATTTGTTCCCCTCGTTGCCTGAAATGCCATTCCCCAACCTTCTGCCCACGTAACTCCTATTTATTCCTGACTCCAATGTTACTTCCTTGAAACACTTTCCTGACTCCCCAGGAGAGATGGAGTGTCCCTGTTCAATGTTCCCATGCACACTGGGACTTCCCTAGCACACAAGACACCAGTAATTTTAAAAAGCCATACACCAAAGAACGTATATGCATGTATGTATTGCCCACGGACACGGATAATAGGGTGGTGAAGGACTGGGGTGGGGTGAGAACTGGGTGGAGGGGGGCAATGGGGGGAAAAAAGAAAACATCTGAAATACTCTCAACAATAAAGATAAAAAAAAATCACACACCATCTGCCTCTCCTTTTATTATAAAAGCTGCTGGAAGCTGGCACTGCCCTACCCACGTGCTTGGCAGCCCAGATCCCACCGCGGTTGCTAGCACAGAGCAGGAAGTGAAAATAGGCACGCTTGGGGGTGCTCAGATAAGGGAGACAGGTCCCTGGGGTGCTCGCAGTCTGGAGGGAGGGGAGCATTTCAACACAGGAATCAGTCGTGATGGGAAGAGGCACAGGGGCAGCTGAGCTCATCTTCAGGGGTTCAAGGAGGTTTCCCCAGGAGGTGGGTCTACGCCGAGTTCTGCAGGTGAGAGGCAGGCGGGGTATCTCCTCCAGTCACAAACACCCAGACACTGAAGGCGCTGGCTACATGGCAAATAGATCCTTCCAGAAAGCAGGATCTAGGGGCCGCTGAAAGCTTCTTACATCCCAACAACCCTCTAGGTTTTCCCAGTGCTTTTTCCAAACTCTACCTTCCCAAGCCGCCCGTGCACTTCTGCTCTTGTTCAGAGGCCCAGCAGCAGGGGGAAGTAAGGCTCTTTCAAACTTTCTGTGTCTGGGATCGTAAGTTAGGTCCATGCCTGAGCCTGTGAGTCCTGGGCCGACTGGCTTTCCCAAGCCCCCTGCTCTGCTCAGCACCGCGGGGCTGCCCCTGCAGACTGCTGTTCTCGGAGGCCACGGCGGCCAAGGTCAGCCAGGAGGTCGGAGGGCCGAGCGGAGTGGGAAGCCGGAGCACGCCTCCCAACCCCTGCCCCTGTGTCTGGAGGCTGCTTCTTCTCCAGGTCTGCAGCTCTGCTGACAGGGCCACAGGGACTCCCACATCTACTGGTGACTACCACCCTTGGGCTTTGGTAATGCCACCTCCTTCCTTTGTCCCTCCAGCCTAGGGTGGTAGCAGCTTCCCTTCTGCTGACCTGTGGCTTGCTGATAGGAAAAGCGGCCCCTCTCAGCGCCTCCATCATCGGGGTCACCACTTCAGAACATTAAATCCTCCTTTTACACACTCAGAGTGGTTTACGCTTTTCAGGGTGGACGAAGGCTCCCGGACAGGACAGGAAGAAACCCTGGATATGAACTCATTTTAACACAGCTCTTTTTACACGTTCTCCCTGGACACGTCCCCTTTTATTCTTACAACCACCTGTGTAAGAATACACTGTGGCTGGTACTCTTGTCCTCATTTTCCAGATGAGGAACCGGACGCTTAGAAATGAGAAGTAACTGAACCGGGGTCACAGAGCTCAGGAAGCAGGGCTGGGAGTCACTTCCAGGTCATCTGATGTCAGACTGCTGGTTCTTGAGTTTTCCTCCAAGATAAAAACACAATAGCCAGGTGGTTGATGTTTCCTTGTTCGTATATCTCAAAATACTGGGGACTTAAAGATGCTGATCCCGAGACCCTGAACAGCAAAGAGGTTGTCACTGCTGGTCCACGGAGTTATAAATAAGTTCAAGGAATTTCTGACGATAAGTCACATTTATCGGTTCCATGTATCTTACATTCCACTAAGTGTGTCGTACAGGGTCATTCGATCCTGAAGGGGGTTAAAAATGGGGAAAAAGAAATGTTTGGGAAATATTTCTCCTTCTTTTCCAGTTAGCAGATTCACTGTTGATATACTGAGGCTTGGAATCTGAGAACCAATGTGTTATAAGGAGAAAAAAAATTGGAGACAGAAAGAACTTGTATAAAACGAAGAAAATAAACAATATCATACGGTTGCTTTGATATTGAGGACATGTTTAAACATGAAAGTGATTAATGGTCGCTGGGTCATTATCACTACTACCATCATGAGCCTCACCACCCTCAGAACCATCACCATCGTTATCATCCTCCTCCTCTTAACTCTTTTTTTTTTTTTTTTTTTATCCTCACCCAAGGACATTTTTCCATTTTTTGCCCAGGTAGAGTGGGAGGGAGAGAGAGGAACAGAGAGAGAGAGAGAGAAACATCGACGTGAAAGGGGCACATCGAGTGGCTGCCACCCGCACAACCGACCAGGGCCAGGGACAAACTGCAACCGAGGTACATGCCCTTAGCGGGAACTGAACCCGGGTCTCTCAGGACCGCAGGCCGACGCTCTAACCGCTGAGCCAAACCGGCCAGGGCTCCTCTTAACTCTTGTATGAGAGGCAGTACATTATTTCTCCCTTTCCAGGAAACATATCAGGTATCTAAGATAGGCTGGGGACCATATTATCTCATTTAATCTTTACAATATCATGAAACATAGTCTTTCTCCCCTTCAACAGATGCAGAGGCAAAGCATCAGAGTAATCTGTCCGAGGTCACACACAGGTAGGGAGCAGGCTTTCACCAGGGTTTCACCCGTCTTGTTTAATTCCAAAACCCGCGTTCTTTCCAGACTCCCTCACTTTATAATGTTAGAATTGTCTTATATAAAGGAAATATATTTGGAAGGATCTATTACCATGGAACATTTGCCACCAATTCTGCCCCCAAACTACCTGAAAGTCTGAACTGTTCCCTCACATTCACAGTGAGAATAATGGGTTGCAAACCTCACATTCACAGTGAGAATAATGGGTTGCAAACCTCACATTCACAGTGAGAATAATGGGTTGCAAACATAGGTCCTTTCTCAGCCGTTCTAAGTACACAGTATACACAGCGCTTCTTCCAAAATCCAGGTAAAGCGTCTCCTTCCTGGCAACAGGAGGGCAGAAAAAACACCTCCCGAGGTCCTCCACACTCATCTCAGTGGAGATGTAGATGACCTCTGGCCAGGTGACCAGACGACCTCCGACAGCACCGGAGAGAGGCAGGCCGTGTCCAGCTTGCCCTCAAGAGAGGTTCTCTTCACTCTGCCTAAGTCCACTCGACTCGACAGCAGGATAGAGCTGATGCTGCCGTGAGACCACCTGACCCCGAGAGCGGACACCCCTCATTTCCCTTTGGCCACAGAGCTTGGAGGGGCCGTCCCTGCGAAAGGAGGCCCCGGACAGGGAAAGCAACACAGGCAGGAGGAACTTGTTCCTTTCTGAGTAAACACATTTCACAATCCATGGAGGAGTCATGGGCTGCACGTGGGACATCAGGAAGCAATTGCCAGGATGAGGCTCCGTCAAAGGCGGCCTCGGCACTGCTGGGCCCATCACAGGGCTGCGAGTGTCAGAGAGTTTAAAGGGAGAAGCGAGCAGCTGAAGAAATAGGCGCACGCACACAAAATAGTGACATTCAAATGTGTTTTCCCTGAACCTTGCGCAATGCTCAGCTGATGGTAGTTGCTCAATAAATTTTCATTCATTGAAAAAAAAAAAAAATAGCAGAAAAGACAAGCTTATGGAGTCAATGAATCAATTCAGGGCCTCTTATTTAATGACCCCTCAACATTCATAAGAACACAGGTCGTATCAAGGAATATGTTTTAAAACATTTCACATGAATAATGAAAACTTCATGAACTCTCTTATTCACCCTATGTACCAACCCCTCCCTCTCCTCCATCCACTGACCATCCATCCTTCCACCCAAATATTTACTGAATATCTACTATATTTATATAAAGAAAAAAGACTTTGAAATGGTATGATTAAGGGCAGGTTATCCTGTAATTTATCAAGCCACAACTGCTTTGAAAACTTTAAAGGGTTATACAGAAGAAAAACATCCCAAGTTCTAGCAT